GAGATATATGCTTGCTCTTTGTGTCATCTAGAAACATTTATTATAGTTCCTGTCAATAATCTTTCACACTTCCAAAATCTGACAAGTTTGGCAATAGGAAGAAAGTGGAGGAAATGTAGATGAAAGACTTTCTGTCATTTTGAAAATTGCTTTATAAAGATTGCAGTATCCCCTCTAGGATCTTGTGAGGGATCCTTCACAGTCTAAAGCAAGTGAAGTTTGATAACAGCACAATTTTATTCTAATTTTTGCTCTTACTTTCAATATCCTAACTTTTTCCAGCTTCTTATAATTTTGGAAAATATGTGATGCTTTTGTAAGGAAAAGAAATTCTTGAATGCCTTTCTTTACCTTCATTTATCTGTGTTTGTTTCATATATCTTGAAGAATCAGGTGTTGATCATTCTAGAAGTCTTGTGGCATGCTCCAATTTGGAGGGATTGAGGAACTTTTTTTGCAATTTAGGGGGAAGAAGGAAACATTTTTTTTTTAATAGGCTTATACCAGTCTCCTTACTCTATAGTTCTCAGTTTTCTTGTGTTAGGGGATAAATATCAATAAAATTTCATCTTACCAGATTGCACCAGCTTTGTCCTACACGTTGGAATTTTCCTTTATTTTTGGCTTTTAAAATCAGAAACTTTTCTTGGGTTGCCGTACTTCTTCTTTTTAGTTTACGTGCCTCTTACCACATCACTAATATGGTCTCTTTTACCGCAGTATGGTCACTGCTGTGGGCGCTTTCAGTGGAGAAGGCTGGAAGGTTAGGATCTGGAGGAAACATAACAAAAAAGGGAGAAAAAAACCCCTTCATTTGGCCAAATCTGGCTCCTAATATATTTAACCACTTCCAGAATTAGAAAGCCTTTCTGTACATTTTCTTCTATTTTTCTCTCTTTTTTTCCTTACGTAATGAAATTAAAACTTTTGGAGCCCACAGTTGACATTTTTCAGAAAATTGAGTTATCAAGGCAGTAATTATTTCACGGGGAGATAAAACTCTCATAGCCCTAACTGTCAAATAGGGCCCTTTTCAGATTTTAATTACAAAATAAAATTAGTCTGCTCTTCCTCGGAATGGTTTGTGAGTGGTTAAACAGAGCTTTCCCCCCAATACTGGTGGTCGTCAAACTCTGCTAATTAGCAATGCTGAGAAATTCCAGTTAACAAGGACATTCTCCAAGACTCTGTAGGTTCCCTGCCGTTTGCCTTCATTTCCATAAGAAGATTAAGAGAGGAGGGGAACACACTCAAATGCAGATGCAGAAAAGAAGCGTTTTTTAACAAGCATCATAATAGTAAGATGCTTGGCTAGTTCTCACCTAATTACTGCAAGTTAAACCTCTATTTGCCACTAAGAAGAAAAAATAAGTCTACAGTCCCCTATCTCCACAAAATTGTTAGTTGGCTTCAGATATAATACTTGGGAGGGATGAGGGGAGTTTAGGAGAGAAATACCAGTGGAAAAGATAAAACTGAGCTACACTTAATCAGTTAAGGATTTTTGGCTGGGGCCTATATAGTAGAGCAAAATTAAATCAGAATATCCTAGGAGTTAGGCATTTTTGTTCCTAATTTCTAATCTTGCTTTAAAAGGATGCAGCTTTTTGCTGCCCATGAAAGGGAAATGTTATACTTCCTTTAGATTAAGCACTTTAAATTTTCACACATTGTGCCAATGGCAACATTTTTAAATTCTTGAAGGATGAAGCACCCTCTTCCAAGTCTTATTTTGATTCCCTAGTAGTCAATGGTGCATTGTTATTAGTACTGTAGCCATCTGTTATAAACCTAAAACAGTGCTGCTTCTATCATCTATTGTGATTATTATAGTTATTATTATATTTAGGGGCCAGTGATAGTGCCGGATTGAAATAGAGTGGCCGGTGATCTGATTTTTTTAATGCATATGTTCTAAAAAATCTAATGAGAAAATTGTTTCTGCTATCACCATCTTCTTTAATCTTATTTTCATAGCACATTATTATGCATAAATGCCAGCCACAGTTAGTTTATTGCCTTGATAAGTACAGCAGGCTTAATTAAAATAAAGCTGTAAATAAATGCAACCAATGATAACACAATTGTAATGTATTTCCAGAGCTTATTTATATGATAAAAGCAATTAACAAAAGACCTAGCCAGCCCCTTTAACCTCTTAAATGCATTATTATAGAGTTCGGTCACAAACACAGGCGTCTGAGAATGTATAAAAGCTTTTATATATTATCCCAAGGAAAAATTTGTGCCTCTTCCTACTACCCCTTGAGAGAGGGAGATTAAAAAATTTGCTACTGTAACCATTCGTTATTAATATTTATTTTAATACATATACTCCACCATTATCCACATCAACCCCTTGGGTTATTTTTCTTCAGACTTAATTATCCATAAGCTTTTTTAAAGTTTTCAGAATAATGCTACTAAGCACAGACCAATGCATACACAATCATGAAGTGAATGCTTGGTCTGCCCTTCGTGGCATCTGGACAATCACAATTCATTCATATGTTGAATCTCATAATTTGTACCTATTTTTTTCCCATAGTTTAACCTCCTACTTCTCTGGAGGTTATATGTACATTTCTAAGTTAAGCAAATTAAATCTGATTCTTATGATTTGGTTCCATGGCTTATATATGTTAACTTTTCTTTTGTTTAGATTACGTGTAATTAGTTGGATCTTCCTCCCATTCCCCTCATTTTTTTTTCCTTTAATTATTTCCAAACACCTTCTTTTAAAGGTAAAAGCAAAACTGTAGTCATGGAAAAGCGAATCCACCAGTAGGGGGCGCACCAGCTACATCCCTGAAACCAGACGCGCTGAAAAGCCAGCCTGTGGCTGCCGTGTTGTCTTCTGAGCCTCTAACCTTTTCTCTTTCCTCGTGTCCATGTCCGTTTTTAGCTTAATAAACAGAAGGCATTATTTTGTTTTGAAGAGTGCCATATATTTATCCGTTTCGAGAAGGCCAGTCTCACTCTTCCCGGGTTCCCAAGAACAAAAACAAACCATAACTTGGAGAAAAAGAAGAAACTGATGGGGGAGGGGCGGCTGATTGGAAATAATAATTTATAAAGAAAAGGATTCTTTTTCTCAACTTTTCTGGCTTTCCAGTGAGCATACTTATTTTGAATTGGACAGGAACAGAAAAGCCTGGGAGGGCAGGGATTGGAGAAGTTGGAGTGGGGGTGGTGATGGTTATGGGAAGGTTAGTAAGGAACAAAACAATGCAAAGTTTTGTAAAGATAATAAATGGAACGTGGCCGACAGATACTATTCAGTACATTTTCTTAGGGGGAGTACGGGTAGATAGATCAGGGGAGGAGGGGGCGGAGAGAGTGTTACAGAAGAAAGAAAATAAGTAACCCTGATGGTTTAAGCCCTTTATAAAAAAGAAATGGCATCAGGTTTTTTTTTTCCCACCCCCCCCACCCTTTGTAGTCAAGTGCATTTTAGCCACAAAGATCCCAACAAGAGAGTGGAAGGAAACTTAGACGGGGCTTTGTTTGACTCCGTGTAGCGACAACAAGAGAAACAAAACTACCTATTTGTAACGGACGTGCTGCCATTGCTCTCCGCATTGAGCGCCTACCTATTGAAATCTTTACGTCAGGACAATGGGAGAGCGGCTAAAATTACCCTCTTGGGTCCTGGGCGGGCAGGATTCCTGAGCCCCTACCCCCGCCTCCATCCCATCCTCCTCCAGTCTCGGCCTTGCTGGGCGCCCCCCAGGACCAGTCCTGGCCGTCTTCTTCCTGCCTGCACCGCCTGCACCTGTGCCTGGGGAGCACCACACCCGCCTCCCAGGCCTGGCGCCCCCTCCGAGCGCTGCCCCAGACCCGGGCGGCGCGGACAGAGCGGCCACCACAGTACAAGTCACAAGGGGAATGGCAGGGCTGGTTCTGCTCGAGTCCTGGGAACTCTGCGTGGGAGGGAGTTTGTGAGTGCGGCCCAAATGCCACCTCCATACTGTGCCGTGGGATGCCAGGAAGTTGACGTTACGCTGCTCCGTAGCCTGCGCTTCTGAGCGTCCTTCTGTGGATCTTTTTCTTCCCCCAGCCTCCTTTTGAAACCGGCCCAACTGAAATCCTGCTTTGGGGGAGGCTCAGGGGGAGAATGGGGAGAGAGGACGAGAGTGGGGGCATCCTCTCTCCATCGACTTAATGGAGAAAGATGGTGGGTGACGTGGCTGGGGGTAAGGGGACAAGCTATGGTGTCCCGGCCGGAGCTGAGCGGGGCAGGGAAGAGCCGGCTCGCCGCAGCTTCCCCAGGCCCGGCCTCCCCTTAATTGTAGAGTCGGCCGCATAGTCCAAGCAGGATTCATGCTTAAAACAGAGCAAACTGCGTGGCAGCACGGAGGGTTTTGAGGACAGAGCTTTCCCTCCTAACTTCTTGTCGGGACTGTGTGAGAAAGGGGTGAGCCAGTGCTGGCACCTGTGGAGGAAAGGGGGCGAGGGGAAGAGCGAGGTTAGGGAGAAGCACCGGAGAGGCTGGGTTGGGGAGAAGCGTGCGGAGGAGCGAGAGAACAATGACACACCAACTCCTGCACCGCCTGCTTCCTGAAATACTAGTAGGACAGTCGCCCTGAACCACCCACTCTGCCCTGCCCCACCCTACCACCTTAGCGGCTTCTCGCGCCCCTTCCCCAACTCAGCGGCCCGCACCAAAAAGTAAATCAATACTAAGTTTGAAGAAGAAAAAAAATCGTAGTCTTAGTGCTGTTTACCCACTTCCTTCGAAAAGGCGTGTGGTGTGACCTGTTGCTGCGAGAGGGGATACAAAGGTTTCTCAGTGGCTGGCAGGCTGGCTGTAGGAGCCGCCTCCCCCTCCCTCCTTCCTTCCCCCTCCTCCCCCTGCCTCCCCCGCGCGGCCTGCGGCGCGGCAGGCCCCGCCCCCTTTCATGCAAAACCCGGCGGCGAGGCTGGGCTCGAGTGGAGGAGCCGCCGCGCGCTGATTGGTCGCTGGAAACCCATTTATTCCCTGACAGCCCCCATCACATGGATGGTTGTCTATTAACTTGTTCAAAAAAGTATCAGGAGTTGTCAAGGCAGAGAAGAGAGTGTTTGCAAAAGGGGGAAAGTAGTTTGCTGCCTCTTTAAGACTAGGACTGAGAGAAAGAAGAGGAGAGAGAAAGAAAGGGAGAGAAGTTTGAGCCCCAGGCTTAAGCCTTTCCAAAAAATAATAATAACAATCATCGGCGGCGGCAGGATCGGCCAGAAGAGGAGGGAAGCTCTTTTTTTGATCCTGATTCCAGTTTGCTTCTCTCTCTCTTTTCTTCCCCCAAATTATTCTTCGCCTGATTTTTCTCGCGGAGCCCTGCGCTCCCGACACCCCCGCCCGCCTCCCCTCCTCCTCTCCCCCCGCCCGCGGGCCCCCCAAAGTCCCGGCCGGGCCGAGGGTCGGCGGCCGCCGGCGGGCCGGGCCCGCGCACAGCGCCCGCATGTACAACATGATGGAGACGGAGCTGAAGCCGCCGGGCCCGCAGCAAACTTCGGGGGGCGGCGGCGGCGGCGGCGGCAACTCCACCGCGGCGGCGGCGGGCGGCAACCAGAAGAACAGCCCGGACCGCGTCAAGCGGCCCATGAACGCCTTCATGGTGTGGTCCCGCGGGCAGCGGCGCAAGATGGCCCAGGAAAACCCCAAGATGCACAACTCGGAGATCAGCAAGCGCCTGGGCGCCGAGTGGAAACTTTTGTCGGAGACGGAGAAGCGGCCGTTCATCGACGAGGCCAAGCGGCTGCGAGCGCTACACATGAAGGAGCACCCGGATTATAAATACCGGCCCCGGCGGAAAACCAAGACGCTCATGAAGAAGGATAAGTACACGCTGCCCGGCGGGCTGCTGGCCCCGGGCGGCAACAGCATGGCGAGCGGGGTCGGGGTGGGCGCCGGCCTCGGCGCGGGCGTGAACCAGCGCATGGACAGCTACGCGCACATGAACGGCTGGAGCAACGGCAGCTACAGCATGATGCAGGACCAGCTGGGCTACCCGCAGCACCCGGGCCTCAACGCACACGGCGCCGCGCAGATGCAGCCCATGCACCGCTACGACGTGAGCGCACTGCAGTACAACTCCATGACCAGCTCGCAGACCTACATGAACGGCTCGCCCACCTACAGCATGTCCTACTCGCAGCAGGGCACCCCTGGCATGGCGCTTGGCTCCATGGGCTCGGTGGTCAAGTCCGAGGCCAGCTCCAGCCCCCCCGTGGTTACCTCTTCCTCTCACTCCAGGGCGCCCTGCCAGGCCGGGGACCTCCGGGACATGATCAGCATGTACCTCCCCGGCGCCGAGGTGCCGGAGCCCGCCGCCCCCAGCAGACTTCACATGTCCCAGCACTACCAGAGCGGCCCGGTGCCCGGCACGGCCATTAACGGCACACTGCCCCTCTCGCACATGTGAGGGCCGGACAGTGAACTAGGGGGGGGAGGAAATTTTCAAAGAAAAGCGAGGGAAATGGGAGGAGAGTAAGAAGAAACAGCATGGAGAAAAACCCGGTACGCTCAAAAAAAAAAAGTCATCACCCGCAGCAAATGACAGCTGCGAAAGAGAACACCAATCCCATCCACACTCAAGCAAAAACCGCGATGCCGACGAGAAAACTTTTATGAGAGATCCTGGACTTCTTTTTGGGGGACTATTTTTGTACAGAGAAAACCAGGGGGGTGGGGTGGGGAGGGCGAGGGAATGGACCTTGTATAGATCTGGAGGAAAGAAAACTACGCAAAACTTTTTAAAAGTTCTAGTGATACGGTAGGAGCTTTGCAGAAAGTTTGCAAAAGTCTTTACCAATAATATTTAGAGCTAGTCTCCAAGCGACGAAAAAATGTTTTAATATTTGCAAGCAACTTTTGTACAGTATTTATCGAGATAAACATGGCAATCAAAATGTCCATTGTTTATAAGCTGAGAATTTGCCAATATTTTTCAAGGAGAGGCTTCTTGCTGAATTTTGATTCTGCAGCTGAAATTTAGGACAGTTGCAAACGTGGAAAGAAGAAAATTATTCAGATTTGGACATTTTAATTGTTTAAAAAATTGTACAAAAGGAAAAAATTAGAATACTGGCAAAACCATCTCCGTGGTCTTCTTTAAAGGGGCAAAAGTTTTAGATTGTACTAAATTTTTTTTTAATTTACTGTTAAAAGCAAAAATGGCCATACAGGTTGACATCGTGGTAATTTATAATAGCTTTTGTTTCCCAACTTTCCATTTTGTTCAGATAAAAAAAAACACCCAACAACATAAATTACTGTGTTTGAAATATTTTCTTATGGTTTGTAATATTTCTGTAAATTTATTGTGATATTTTAAGGTTCCCCCCCCCTTTATTTTCCGTAGTTGTATTTTAAAGATTCGGCTCTGTATTATTTGAATCAGTCTGCCGAGAATCCATGTATATATTTGAACTAATACCATCCTTATAACAGGTACATTTTCAACTTAAGTTTTTACTCCATTATGCACAGTTTGAGATAAATAAATTTTTGAAATATGGACACTGAAATTATGCTTGAGTGTTTCATTTATTTGGATAACACTGATATACATAACTCCTCGGGGTATATACTGTGCTCAGCCAAGAAAGCAAAATACCTAAAACCTTGATATTCTAGTCCAGTAGCATGTGCTAATGTTAATTGCCACAAATAAATGTCTGAATGATTAATTGAATAAGTACTCTCAAAAAATTGAAATGCTTATGTCATTTCTAAAATAGAAACTAGAGGCATATATTGTAAATCCACCCCCTCCTTTTCTAAGCAGCATGAATAAGCATGATGGGGACTTATACTTAAAACTGATTTATGCCACTTGTTGCCAGGAAGAAGGAGTCAATTCTGAAAATTTTCATGTAGCTCAGCAGATGGGGTATTGAGCCAAATCAGAACCAGGTTGGCTGGTTTTGTTTTCTTTTTCCTCAATGCACAATGGCCCTTTGGAAACCTAGTTATAGGGGAAAATGATGCTTCTTGTATCGGAATAATTGCAAACTAGACATGCAAACTGCTCATCTGCTGGGTGGGTGTTTGGATTACTTCAGTCCTGCTATTGTTTGAGAGGAAACAAGTGGTTTGCTTTCTTTGTTCCTTGGCTTCATAAACTTTCTCTTCTACATTTTCCTGTTTAGGGGCGAGGGAAAGCAAAGAGCGTCTTACGAAACCCCCCGACTTATCACGGCTATTTTTTATTACTATTATTTATTTTCTTTTTTCCTCTCTCTCCCTCCACGTATTCCATTTCTTAAATTGGCAGCGCGGGTCCAAGCCTGTAGTCCCAAATCGGATATCTCTGCAGCTGATAACGAGCAAAAGAGAAGCCAGGCAACAGCCATATTAAAGAAGAAAACAATCAACTCTGAGGTAGATATTTTACTTTGTCCGGTCTAATCACATTTGGAGATGATTATGCTTTTGATCTGTTAACCATGTTTTACTACAGTGGTAGAGAAGTAGGGGGAGGGGAAAGGGGTGGGGAAACAAGATTGGATTTGTTGTTTTCTTTTGCCCTAGGAAAGGTAAAGAAAGACTATAGTTGTCCTCAGTGGGAGCGGAAAAGTTGGGGAATCGCCATGGTCTTTGAATTAGCGATGTTTCTACATCACAACCGACCCGCGCTTTGGCGCAGCCGGAGAATCTGTAAGACCGACTCAGGGACTTTTCTTCCTTACTTACTGCTTACCTCGCTCAACTTCCCCCGCCAAAGGGGACCAGGAACCACGAGTCAGGCATTCTTAAGAGCGTGGGTTGCTACCCACAATTTCAAGGGCTTGTTGTGTCAACTTGCTACAACTTTGGAGAAGTTGGAATCCGGCAGCGCCTTCCACCCTTGAGTAAAATACCGGCTGCAGCCACTAAGTTAGCTCAACCCGTTGGTTTGCACTTCTCGTTTTCCAAGAAAGTATTTCTCTCTCGTGGTGTTGCTAATGTTAGTTTTGGGCTCAGCTGGAGATATCCTTATATTTTCTGTATTTTCATTTCATGTGGTTTGCTTTATTTTTGGTGTGTATTGGTTTTCAATTATTTCTTTTAAAAAATTCATTTTAGGGTAAAGGACAATTATTATGCCAGTTCCCAATTCTAAGCGAGGCATTTCCCCCCCTAATTAATGCAGAGACTCTAAAAGAATTTCCCCCGGCCTGGCCAGCCATTGTAATGCATATACGGATTATTCACGTGGTAATGAGCACATTCGCCAGTTCTTGCTCACACATACGAATAAAAGAAACTTTGAATAAAGATCCAAATGATCTTGCTGGGGGGTGGGGAGGATATTCCCGGAATTTGAGCCAATCAACTATATGGAGTGTATATATTTGAAAAAAATAGAGCTATATTAGAAATATGTATAGGGTTTAGAGTAATTGCACTGCATTTAGGCTCCCTTAAAACAAAACAAAACAAAAAAGAGCCCACAGGATCAGACTAAAAAAAGCAACAACTTTTTGGCAAAATGCTCAAGTTCAAATATTTTGCTAGAGGGAAGAGAGCAATTTTAGGAAGTTGAACTAGTTTTGAGTGATTGTCACTGTCTGCCTAAAACAAGAGAACTCCCATTTTCCCTCCTATCCCTCCATATCTCCTACCTAAATGAAAGCCAAATTATTTTGCTCACAAATATAAATTCTTTTGATAAACTGCATTTGAGGAAAATGTCATATATTTTTAAATGATTCCCCAAGACGTGTAGTTTCATGACTAGATTAATATTGAACATACAATATTTTAATTATAATATGATTTCCAAGAAGGGGGTAAACCCATAAACTTGCCCAGAGATGGTTATCTCTCAGTGCTGAAGTTAGTTGTTGAAGTGTTCACTTCCTTCCTTGGGATATTATTCTGTTCACAAAAACCATTCAATTTCCAGTCAAAGGAGTGAATTTAATGTTTTGTTAACCTTATACATGGAATGGAAATGTGTAGAAGGATGAGATTATAGTTTGTTCCCTCTGCAATTTTTTCTTTCCCCGCACCCCCGCCCCCTACTTTAAATAAAGCGCGTTAAAATATTTTGCTGAGCTGTAGTAGATTAGCAAGGTTTCTTGCCAATACTGGGAAGCTGGTATTACAGACAGTCCCAGGGGAAAATGGCTCATATTAACCACTAAATGAATATTTGACAAGGGCTCATTCGGAGGTATTATTACTATAAACGTGTCCCTACTGGACTTTTCCAGGGTCAAAGAGCAACGCTTCAATTAATTATTTAGTCTGCTAGTAGATTTGGTTGTAATAATAGCTGTACTTATTTCTAGAACCGACACATTCTTACAGTAGGAAATCTCAGGAGAATCTTCTCCATCAGCCATGCCTTGGATTGAAATACACATAGAGCCCTGGCATTCTAAAGCTGACTTTTTCATAAAACCTTTTCCTGGGCTGAGAGTTGGGGGGATTGTAGTTTCTTTTTCTATTTCATTTACTGGCTTTGTTTTAAAAGAAAAAAAAGAAGAACATAACAAGTTACCTTAGATACTACATCATGTCTGGAAAGGTCTTTTAGGGCCTTGCAGTTTGGGGAGAGAGGGGAGGGGGTTTATTTATAACCTTTGCCTTTTCTAAGTGGAGATGTCACAGGATTTCAAAGACTCAGGCAGGTTCTGAATTTAGAAGGGCACACATTTGCTGTTTGCCAATAAAATTCGGGGTTTTAAAATGTAAGGCTCCATAGGCTGAGTACTCTGAGTTCTAGTAGTCTCAGAGTAAATTGGGGTACAAGATAGTCCCTCCTTCCCTCCCCACCTACTGGTTTGAACATTTCCAGGTGTAGGGTGAGGGGGGGACGGGCAAGTGTTCCATTTCTGCTCTGTCATAAGTTCCTCTGGGGCCCTGGGTAAAATGGTAAGGGAATGATTTTGAGAGTAAGATTCCTTGACAATAATATAAGGTGAATGAATAAGAGATAAGCTGCAAGGGGTGGGGGGACGGGATGCAGTAATTACAAACCCAATTCATTCAGCTTTTCAGAACTTTTGTTGTGGGAGCTCCATTGACGGGTTTTGAGCCGCCAGTTTTCTCACATTAAAAAGAACTGATCAGCGCCTCAGGGGGACAAGAAATACCGCTTAACTGCATAGTGATTGGGTCTTCATTTAGAACCCTTACAAGAAGAAATTTAAACAGTGCCTTTGTGTGCACAGGTTTACTTTTCAACTGCTAACAGTTTATAGCTAACTGCTTTGAGATTGAAGTTTGACTGTGGTTTGATCGCCTGCTTGTTGGTGCTGCTTATTTATTTATTTATTTATTTATTTATTTATTGTAATGAAAAGAGCTTTTTATATCCTACCCCCCTTTATTTCTTGCTCTTGGAGAATTTTGCAAAACAGGTCTTCATATTTTGCTTTATGGAAGGAGTTTCCTTCGCCTTGAGCCTTAGCAGAGACTTGAATTAACACTTCTCCAACACTTTGCACCTCCCCCCTCCCATTATTGCCTTAAAATAATTTGCATCTCACTCTTATTATTATTATTATTTTTAATGCTGCCTTTTCTTGCTTTCAAAGCAAAAACTGCTTTGGACAGCTACAAGTGAGGTTGAGGATGAGGGTTGATTTATTTCTTTTCTAGGCGCCTTTTTTTTTTTTTTTTTTTTTTTACTAGAGTTGGAAGATGGTTGGGTGGATTTCTTTAGGGACCTCGTCTACGAGGTGGATCCCTTAAAGACAGGAGAAGGGGAAGAAACACTTGAACTTTACTGTGAAAACGTGGATAAAATCCAAAGGGACACAGCCTCTGGAGTTCTAGAGTAAGCAGCTGTGGAAGGAGCTTTCCAAAGACAGAGAAATTGCCCAAACCAGAGAATTTGTTTGGTGTCTCTCATAGTTATTTTCTATTAAAAACTTCCCTGGAAACCTGCTTCTGATATCACCCAGGGAGACTTGTAACTGCTGTTCCTTCTCACAATGCTGTCCAGTTTTACAATTCTTGTTTTCAGTTTTTATGTTTTGCTTCTATAGCCTTCAGGAAATAATGGACTTGACTTTTCTTATTCTAACTGTGAGACTTCTCTGGGAGGATGGCTTGCTAAGACAAGGCCAAGATTTCCCATGGCAGAGCTCTCTTTCTGTATGCAGGTCTAGATGGATTTTATTTTATATTTTGGTGTGTAATGGTTATATTTCCGATTCCCTGAGTGGTGTACTCAGTTTCTCTTCAAAAGCAAGTAGAACGTCCTCTCATTTCAGGACGCAAAGATATTTGCTGCTTCTGGGCTTTTGGACTTGAGGTGCTTGCTCTACTTTGCAAAGAAGTGTCAGGTGATTTAAAAGCTTCAAGGAGTCGTTCGTTACATTACCTTCGTCTGCCTGCGTGCACAGAATGAAGTGTGCACTGTTAGGAAAGATTTCGGCGCTTTGAACTATCATTTGCCTTCCTCTCTTGGGTTTCCGTGCCGGGCGCGACGCAGGGCCGGGAGCGCGCGGCCCACCCCCCACCCCCCACCCCCCGCCTGCCCTGGGGAGCCCGCCGCAGCCCGCGCCGGAGCCGAGGCGCGGGCAGATGG